CTCATGAAATGACGGCAGAGTTCCGTGGTCTTTGTGCTGAAGAGGTCAGTAATGATCGCTTTATATTCTTTAAATGGTTTTTAGGTCACTTATATTTCATCTTTCTCAAACTCTATTTGTCAGGCCTATCTGCAGCAAGAGCTGGAAAAGTTACACGACATGAGGAATAAAGTGAAATTAGAGGGAGAACTATGGGATGATCTTGTATCTAGTTCTAGTCAGAACTCCCACCTAGTCTCGAAGGCTAGTCGTTTGTGGGAATCTATATTAGCTCGTAAAAGTAAGTCCGAATATTTACCTATTATCCTTTTCTGATGTTTGTTTCTTTGTTTGTCCTAGTCAATGCTCTCTTTTAAGTGGATGTGGTGCTCATAAATTCATTTGTTCTGTTTTCCAATTGGGATTTCTTAGTGCTTGATTATCTTTTTGGCATGGATTGTAGAGGATTCCATTTTTAGATCTTGATTAGCAGCAGTCCAGCCTTTTTATTCCATGGCACTGCCTGAATTCACTTTCTAGTCTTTACAATATAATGTTACGGCCACATTCATTTCGAAGCTGAGACAATGTTGGTATTAGATTCATCTCTTATTTCCTGTTTGAAACACTGATGCTTATGGTTCATTTGCTTCTAAAGTGTCAGCACTATTTGATCCAAATCTTTCATCTGTTAATTTTCAGTTACGATGCTAAACTCTATGGTTGAGTTTGGAATTTGGTATTCTCTCATCTCACTACGTATTAGTTGCATTATGTATCATCAGATGTTTAAGTTTGGAGTTATGTCCATCTATGTAATAGATTATGAAATGCCTACTTACTGTAAGTTCATTCTCTTCAACCACATTTCCTGGTCTTTTTGAAGGTCAACATGAAGTTCTGGCTTCAGGACCAATCGAGGACTTAATAGCTCATCGAGAGCATAGGTAATAATGCTTTTGGATTGGAATGCAGTTGCCTGGACTTTCTATTTACCAACTGAGCTCTTTGTGTTCAATATTGCATGACAGGTACCGTATTTCAGGGTCAGCTTTGCTCTCTGCAATGGATCAGAGCTCTCAAGTTCCTAATACAGATTCACAGTTGGAGGATAAAGATCAGAATGATGGTTCCTATGACGAGACACATTCTAGAGTTGATGATAGAGGCGGGAGAGTCCATCAAACAGTTGATGTAGCAGAAATCATCCGTCGTTGGACTCATGCTTTACAACGAATCCATAAGCAATCACTTCACATGGTATGCTGTTTATTTTGTTTGAATTAGCTTCTTTCATAAGGTAAAGTAGCAGCATTTCTTGAGTACCTTTTTCTTTTGCTCTTGTGGGGCTGGGCATGTCTTTTGTGCTTGCTATTGTTGTGCATAAAAGGCATATAGCGTAAGAATTTTTAGGGAACAGACTAACATGCTATTATCTACATTTGATACTGAAGTTGAAAGTTTTGCTTCTTTAATTTGGTATCATTTTCATCTCCCTTTTAGGGTTGTTTTTGCTCAATCCGTTATCTTTAGCGGTGAATATTAGATGTCAGAAGGTTTTCGCAATGATTTTCTCTGGTTATTAGATTTGGTAATTTGACAAAACCATCTTGGCATCAATAATTAGCCAAAAAGAAGCTACTTTTCTTTTTAAGTTTTAGTCTAAACATCCTGCCTTAGATGCAACCATTGGACAGGATAGAGTTTGTTGGATGAGGTTGAGATGGAAATATCCGTTCATTTCTATGTTAAGTTGTTCGATTTAAATTATGGTTGAGCATGTAGTGAATTATTATCATCCATATTGTAGGCCAAAGCTAATGATGGAGAAGGCCCAGATATATTGAGAAGTGGTAAGGATGGGAGCGCGAGCGGCCATGCCGAGTCTTTAGCTGCAACTCTAGCTGAACATCAGCAACACCTTTCTAGTTTCCAGGTAATGGATGTTTTATGCTTGAACTTCCATTACGGGCTTATTTCCACTGTTGCTAGCCAAAACTCAAGCATTTGAATTATCCATAGTTCAACTGTAGAAACACTCCATCAACTAATTTTGGTGGCGTTTGTTCTTTTTCCGATGGTTTATGCTCAGGTGCTAATCAACCAACTTAAAGAAGTTGCTCCAGCAATACAAAAGTCTATAGTGGACTGTACAGAAGTTGTGAATAATGTATCCTCCACCTTGCCTCCGATGACCAAGCACCGTGTTCGAGCAACTTCACCTATACAGGCTCAAAGCAGCGGAAGGACATTGGTAATGCTTTGATGAGTTCCAATTTCTGCATAACACATACAGTTTTTGGTCCATACTGATATTCTTCCGGTGTTTGTACATTATTAGGAAGGTGTCTCAGATGATGCTGCTGAGTTGATTTCCAGAATGTCTTCTCTTCAGCTTGACAAGTCAGTGTCTGCTAGTCCTCCGGCATTGAAGCTACCCCACCTATTCAATTTGACTCCCAACTCCTCTGGAAAAGTTGGAAATTTACAAAAGAGACAATCTGCTAGTATCCCAGTGAACCAGATGGAAACTCTTTCTGAAGGGAGCTCCTTGGATCAGCCATTGTCAAATAATCGTGTAGATAACCAACCCCAAGGTCTACTTTTCTTACTGCTACTCACAGCTTCAGCATTCCATCTCCATCTTTTTCCCCATGTTGGTTCTTCAACTTATAGCATATGGTTTGATGATGGCTTATGCATTTGCAGATAATGATCATTATTACATTCAAAACTTGAAGAGGTCTGTAAGAGAAGCAGCTCTTGCTACACATTCTAGCAGTTCAGAATCATCCTCTCGAGGCAGTCATTCTGATAGTTCAGAGCACTTCTTCTTACCTCTTTCATCAGCAAGTGGATTTTCTCTTCCAGGGCCTGACAAAAGAGTTGCTCAAACAAGGGGCAAAAAGTTGTTTACTCAAATGGAGCCACCCTCACGGAGCAGTCATGCTTCTTATGGTGATTCCAGGAGCAAAACCAATGGTTTACCCGAGTTTGACTCTCTGTCTGACTATGACAATCTAAGTAGCTTTTTGTCGACAGTTGGTTCAAATGGTGCTTTGTCTGATGGACAAAGGACGTCATTTTATGACATGGATGACCCTCTTGGCCAAGTCTTCTCGCCGCCTCTTTTAACAGACGACTCACTGTTATCTGACTCTTATGAAGATTTACTCGGTATGTTGCTTGACTACATAATCCATTTCCTTTTCATTTTCGAGCTTGTCTATTTGCTTACACTTATTAGTTGCCGTGATTGACCTGTAAAACAAAAAACAAACAAACAATTCGTTGTTCCTTGATGTGCTGGATATGCTAAATAACCCTACTGTACTAGGTAATTGCGTTTGCGTAATAAAAAGAAACTCCATGTAGATCTTAGGCGTTCGATGTGCTAAACTAGTCTAATTGCCCTGGTAACCCTGCTTTTCAGCTTATATTGTGTGTGCTGTTTGGTTTTCCGTATGCTATAATTGATATTGTGTGTACTGTATGGCTGATGCTTTGTTTACCACAACTTGGCTTGATATGAATTTTTTTTCTAATCTCGTCCGAATACTTGTTGCAGCTCCTCTATCAGAAACTGAAACAGCCTTGATGGAGCATTGACACAGAGTTTCACCACTATTTCTAGTGCTTCAGTTCTTTGGCCAGATCGGTTGTGGCCAGTGACATGGTTTTTCTTTTCGATTTCTTGGTTTGGGGTTCTCCAAGCCAACTGATCTCGACACTAGAGTTTCTCCTCCCCATTTTGCAAAGCTGATTGTGATTCATCTATCCTGCCACAAATATTGAAGACTCAAAGTGTGAAAAAGACCCTCGTGGTCATGCTCGATGAATAGATAGACTGGTGCAGGCTTATTCAAGCCTAGTCCTGGGCCAAGAACATGCGTAATCTAAATCAAGCACTCGAGCCTTGATTATCCAAACCCAGCGCCCAGCGGTTCCAGGTAACTCCTTGCGTACCAATATAATACACACACGATTGAAGGGTTGATAGGAAGCATATTGGGGGGTTGTGTATTTGTTTTGCAATAGATTAGGATCTAGAAAAACTACTGGTGTTTCATTGTTAATTTATTTATAAATGTTGTGTGACATTATTCTTCCTTTTTTTCTTTTTGGGTTTTTGCTGATTTTGGCTGTCTATGGGGATAGATAGACAGACAGAGAGCTAAGGGCTGGTGATTTGATGAAAGTGTATATTTCTTCATCTCTGGGCTTCCTTCCTGTAATGTATGAAATTGTATGGTTTCCACCATGATCACATCTGATATAAAAGTTGCAGTAATATATTTGTTCCAGTCTCATCCAAAACTAGAATAGTATAGTTTCACCAACCCTTCATTTACACGCTATTTACTTGAAGTGGTGCATAAAAGTGTTGGTTTGGGGCACCCCTGCCTTCTAGTAGGGTGGGTCATTCAATGTGTTCGTTTAGTTGTCACTGTATTTACTACCTGGAATATGTAATGCCTTATACGTCAAGGCTTGTAAACTTGCTCCAAAAGCCTTCTTTACCTTTGAATGTTTTGTCAAAAAAGGAAAAGAAATGCTGCCTTTGAATGGGACAGAGTTCTTTAACCTTGTAAAGGTATGGAAAGCAATTGATGGTTGGTGGATAATACTTAATAGTGGTCTTTGAATTTTGAGGAATATCCAAAGTTGCTGCAACCGTCCATGAGTGAAGCACCTGATCATACTGGATGTTCCAAACCGAAAATCGTTCGACTGTGGTTAGGAACATGACTAATGTCGTATGACCTAGAATCTAGATTGTGTCTTGATACAAATGAACCATGTTTAAATCGAACATGGAATTGGCTCGCACGGCTAGGAAAAAGTCACTGAGGCCGTATCGATCTACAAGATTGATGTTGTGACCCTACCCATCTAATTTTAGGTGTAAAGAATTCCCGTTGAAAACTCAAAATTCATATCCTTTCTAAAAAAAATTTAAATCTTAATTTGTACGATATTTTTTCTAACTATTTTTCATTAAAGGTTAATTATCAAACACTAAACACGTTAAAATCTTATTCCATCAATTCCTAAAAATAAACTCGCTGGATGCTTTATAATCCGTCGAGTTCTCCATCGGAACCAATAGTCTTACCTTCTCCTACGTCTCAAAGTCACATTTCTCGCACTCATACTCTCTACCAGTTTGTTCCAACCCACATTGATCTGCTGTTTATCCATCTCGACCACCCCATTGTCATCCTCCTCCCCATCTCCCACCTTTTCCTCCTCCTCCTCCTCCTCCTCCTCTTCTTCCTTCTCAATCTCTGGCTTAGCCATTGCAGCTTCCACCCTCTTCCTCTTGAGCAAACTCACGACCTCACCCAGTGCCACGTCGGCATCGTTGCTCTTCATCAGCTCCTCCGCGACTTGGGCCGGGGTGACCTTGGCGTCCCCGATCAGCCCTCCGATCTCCTCACACAGCCTGTGGGCCCCGCCGTCGGCCCCCAGGTAGTTGTTGGCCAGCACCTTGAACCCTTCCTGGGTGCAGTAGGACATGTGGACGTGCATGTCCATTCGACCCGGCCGGAGCAGGGCCGGGTCCAGCTTCTCCTTGTGGTTGGTGGTGAACACGATGATCCTCTCGTCGCCGCAGCTCGACCATAGCCCGTCGATGAAGTTCAGTAGCCCCGATAGGGTTATCTATGCCAGCCAAAACATAGTTCAGACGAAAAGCCAAATTCAGTTTCAGTGAGTAGTTAGAGTTAGCCAGAAATGAAAAGGACAAAAATGACATTCACCTTGGGCTGGCGTGCGTAGGGGTCAAATGGGTACACCGTGCTTGCCTGTATAAGAAGAAGATAGCAAGCATTAAATGTGGGAAATTACCCAAACTACTTCTACCAAAAGAAGAAAAAAAAAAAAATTCTAAGCTTACTTTAAAAAGTTCCCCCAAATAACACACTTTAAGTCTTAACAAAAAAATTATCAAAATACTAGAGTTTCACGAAGTGTTTACGTTGTCAGGAGTGGTTAGTTAGAGCACGAGACGAACACCAATGTGTTATCGAAGCAAACCAGTCGTTAACACAGGTAGATTGCTCACACATATCGATGATAAATATAGCGATCTAACCCTCAAAAAGTTGCTGGTTCGTTTCGGTATGGTGTGATCCGAATGGTTTGAGGCTAGTTCGCTTGTATTTTACGTGATCCAGGTGCTTCGGGGCTGGTTTGCTTATGTCTAGACTTTGGAGCGATCAAGGCTGATCCTATGTTGGTTCGCTTCGGTTTTGCGCTATCTAGGTTGGTTCTATGTAGATCGATCATTTCTCCAACATATCACTACCTAATTCGCTTTATCCGCACCAAATTCTAGTTTTTTTGGGATTTTATTTTGTCAAGTGTTTGTATTGTAGGAATTGTTTTTAGTAACATTATAGCTTGATAAAATTTCCCTAAATGTGTGATGGTGGAAAATGGCGGTTTGTGAAGGGAGTAGGTAGAAGAGGCAACAAAAGCAGGGTTTTTTTTTGGTAATGTGAAGAACAGGGGAAGGAAAAACAGGGGAGCCTAATGGAAGCAAACAGAGTGTGACAAACCTGAACTGGCTTCTTCTTCTTCTCATTCCGGTCAGGCAAATCAGCGCCGCAGTCAATATCCTCAATGACGAGGATGGACCTGTTGCCGGTGGCGAGCAGGACCCGGCGGAGGTCGCAGTCGTCCTGCACGGACGCGAGCTGCAAGTCGTAGACGTCAAACTTCAAGTAATTGGCCATGGCGCCGATCAAGCTCGATTTTCCGGTCCCCGGCGGGCCGTAGAGGAGATAACCCCTCTTCCAGGCCCGGCCCACCCGTTTGTAGAAATCCTTCCTGCTCCGGAACCTGTCCAGGTCCTGGACTATGGCCTCCTTGAGTGACGGCTCCATCGCCAGAGTGTCGAACGTCGCCGGATGGTCCAAATTGACCGAGTTCCATGGCCCAATGCGGTGGTAGTTCTTATTGTCCAGCGTGTGAATCTTGAGAACCCTCTCCTTGTGCCTCATCGCCTTCAGCTCATCAAGGACGAAAGGTATGTAGGAGCCCAGAACCAGCTCTTTGTGTTCCTTGGGGAAACTCAACTGGAAGCAGCGTTTCTCCGGCGACGCGATTGACCCGGCCGGGTTGCTCGGGTCGCTTCGCCCGGCCAACGACGAAGATCCGGGAGAGCGGAAGAAGCGCCAGGTGAGCTCGAGGCCCCGGAACTTGTCGACGATCCGCTCGTTGTTCTCGAACGAGAAGAAGAGGTTCTTGTCGGCGGCGGTCTTGGTGACGTGGAGGCAGTCGGTGTCGTGGTTGATCTTGGTGGCGAGGTAGGCCTCGGCCGCGTCGAAGATTTCGTTGCGGGTGTAGCCGGTGGTGGCGTCGAAGATCAAGGTGAGGCCTGGGGGTAGGCGGCGGCCGAAGAGACTCTGGGCCAGAGCGTGGAGATACTGCTGGGCTGGCGCCGGGAGGAAATCGCGGACCGCCGTTCGAGCCATCATCGCCGTCGTGGTCAGGGAGGCGTACCATGAGAAGATTTCTGACGGAGCAGGGATCGTCAAGGAGGTGATCAAGGTGAGGATCCAGGAGAAGATTTCTGATAAAGATGGAATCCTAGACATCATGATGCTTTTACTCGTCTCTCTGTTCTGGATTTTCGTTTTCTTTTCTTATATTGCCTAGAGTTTGAACTCGTTTAGGCTGCTGATTAGGGTAGTTAGAAGGGACAAAGTAACTAGCATGTTTCAGGGGTAATTATCATAAATGGTCACAAAATTATTTACTTTGTACAAAACGGTCACAAACCTTTAATTTTGCACGTTTCAGTAACATATGTTTGTACTAATAACAAAAAGGTAATTCCGTCTATCTCCATCCAAAAAATCGTTACCTCCGTCCAATCAGCACGCCACGTCATTTAAAATATTAATAAAAATTAATAACCAAACCAAGTGAACCGATAACCCAATCCAAAACCCTAATTATATATCCAACCACCCGAATTCTTAGACTGTTAGACACAAAAATACTCTTGTCACTTTCAGAGGGATTAAGCTCCCACCCTGCCTCGCCGGCGGCAAAGAGCCGTTCTCCGCTTTCAAAGAACCCACCAAATATGTTGAGAATATAAACGTAAACGGACAATTTGGAGGGCTTTTTAAGTCCAAGCTTGTTGATTGCCATCTGAGAAGATTCCTTCTCTCATGCTCCCAAATCCGCACAATTAGCAGAACCCAAAGACCTAACCTTTTTCCACTAGCCCAAGAAACCAGAATCGGAACAGGAAGATTGAACAAATGGGATTGCCAAGAGTTCTACCTAGCTTCGCCCATCAAGATTTTGGCCCGACCCAAGAACTCTGTCGACTGCGGATGCCGGTAGATCAGCTGAGTCGGAAATGCCGATCAACTCTATCTTACCTCTGGGAGAAAAGGGCGAGGCGTGTTATTTAGTAAACGGCGATCAACTCTATTGGTTCCCCACCCTGCCCCGCTGGCGGCGGCGAGCAGGGAACTGAATCGTCCTGGGAGAAAAGAGCGAGGCGTGTTTCTGTCTCTAAGGCATCTCCATCCATGCAATTGCAAAAGAAATTGCATTTGTGTTTTTTATTGTCAACTCAATTTTTTTGCAATCCACATCACATTCATTTCATTCACCTACATCAATGCAATTAACTTGCAATTGCAAATGTCATTAAATATTATGTTTAAATTATAAAAAATTAAGTAAAAGAGAAAAGAAAATAATATAAAGTAAAAAATGCCCATTTTTTTAGGCTTTTTTGACTTGCATATGGAATTGCATTTGTTGCAAGCTTGCAAATATGCAATTGGTAGTCATATCAATGCAATTGGGTTTGCAATTGCAAACACCTATGCCATGTCATTTTGCAATTGAGAATGCAATACCAATGTGGATGCTCTAAGAATTCGGGCGGGTGAGTATAAAATTAGGGTTTTCGGTTGGGTTATCAGTTTAATTTGGTTTGGTTATTAATTTTTTTATTAATATTTTAAATGACGTGGCGTGCTGACTGGAGGAAAGTAACGGTTTTTATGATGGAGATGGACGGAATTACCTTTTTGTTATTTGTCCAAACATATGTTACTGAAACGTGCAAAATTAAAGATTTGTGACCTTTTTGTACAAAGTGAATAGTTTTGTAACCATTTATGATAATTACCCCATGTTTCCGTCTGTGTTCTTTTCGATTTCAATTTCCTTTTGAATTTATGTTGGGTAGTATGACAAATATGTAAATAAGTTTGTATTCTGTATTTATTTTGCTATTATTACGGGTATGCTTACGTGTCAGTAGGGTAGACATCCGTCGACTCGATTTATAATTGTATATAATTGACTTAGGAGCAGAAAAAAAACAACAAAGGAGAAATAAGGATTAAAACCGAACCAAAAGCTTGTTTGGTTCGATTGCCCCAGTTCAAATTCAATATCAGTTCATTTTTTTCATATCTAAAATAATTCACAGGACAAAAAATGAATCGAAATATATTTGATCGATTGTTGCCCACCCCTAGTCAGTACTCGGTAGTCTTGTTATTGGAATCAGACCAGATTTGTCGACCATTCAGCTATATAATCGCTAAGCCAACTGTGATATTGGTTTGGTTCGTCTATTTGGATCTTATGAGTGAGTAGCATGATAGAATGTCTTATGTTTGGTATATCAATTTTTAAACCAGATGAATAAATCTCGTCCTAATTTTACTACTATCGCCCTAACTTTTAAATGAGAGTATGTTTGTTAAGAAAGATAATAAAATTGAAGGATAAGAAAGTAATTTCAAATTTTCAATTAGAGCGATTATAGAAAATTAGGACGACAATTAACAACCCTCTTTTTAAAAGACGAAATTGTTGTTAAATCAAATTTAAAAGACTAATTAATTAGTTAATCATCCAAAATTTTACTAATTGCTCAAGTAGGTCTCATCTTAATTTTGATCTAGAGTCCAACAAAAACCAAAACCGTGGGTTTGTCTGTGTGATTTTCTGGGGTTGAAAAAAGTCTTACAAAAAATGGAAGCTTTATGAGAACATAAGAGAAAAGGAGAACAAAGCCAAAGAAGAAGAAGCAAAATACATCGAGAAGAGTAGGGGAAAAAAGAAAAAAGAAAAAAAACTCATCTATCGAGACACAACCCACTAGCCAGCGAGCAGCATCCTGGAATACCCAGAATTTCCTTATTCTTCCACTTTCCTTTCCGGTCTCACAATCTCTATCCGATTCTTCACTCTCCCGAGCAATTGAACTTTCTCTCTCTGTTTCCATCTATCTCAGGTACATGTGTGTGTATCGATTGATTGTTCGTCGCCTTTTTCTGCTTTCCCCTTTTTTATCTGGGATTTCACCTTTCCTTTTTGTTAGCTCCATGATTGGAAATGGGAATCTGGTACTTTTCCCCATCGTTTGTGGTATTGGGTTGATGAGTAATTATTGGGTTTTCTGTTTTTGGATTTTATTTCTGTTGATTGCAGGTGCTTTTGGCTCTTCAGATCATTACCCAGATCTCGTTTTCTTCTGATCCACTTCAAATTGGTTCAACAGTGGAAATCAGCGGAGCTCAAGAAGAAATATAATACAGCAAGACGAGATAGAGGACGAAGAGGTGATGGAATTGTTTTAGATTTGCTTAAGTTTTCCTTGCCTTCAATATGATCAATTGCTGGTTGTTCTGATATTTCATCGTATGCTGGTTTGTTCTTTCAGAATTCTGGTGCCATTGAAGCACAGAAACATGTTTATGATTGTTTGGGGGAGACAAAATTGATTGATTGACCTTTTTCTTGCTCTGGGGATCTTAAATTGAGAGATATATCTTGCCTGGAAATGGAGTTTTCTGAAGCAATGTGGTGTAGCAACTCGGTTGGAGGTATGTTCATACCTTAGGAAGGGTCTTTGCCTCACTGGTTGGAATTCACTTTCTCTCTCGAAATGGGTGTTATTGGTAGTAGTAAGAGGAATCAGTTGGTTATAGAGTGTTGATAACTACTCGGTCTAGAGTCAACCCGAAAGACGGAATTCTGCTGCAAACTTGAGCTATGATCAAACAGTTCCTCAATAGGCTCCCTAGGAAGCCAAAGTCGTCCGAGCATCGTGATGGAGGAGGAACTTCTACCTCATCAAACACTTCCACTAGCTCGAGAACCAACGATTTCACAAACAACCGATACGGTGGAGGACCAAATGCCACATCTTCACCTGCTGTGAATTCTAATCCGGCTCACGGTTCAAATTACAGCAACAAGCTCTCCCTGCCTGTAAAGCCGAATGGTAATCAACCTTCATACGAGGCTCTGCCTAGCTTCCGCGAAGTTCCAAATGCAGAGAAGCAGAACTTATTCATCAGAAAGGTGATCTTATGTTCTGTCATTTTCGATTTCACTGATCCTACTAAGAACCTCAAGGAAAAGGACATCAAGAGACAGACATTGGTAGAGCTTGTGGACTATATTTCCTCTGCCAGCGCAAAGTTTCCTGAGATAGTCATACAAGAACTCATCAGAATGGTCTCTCTAAATCTGTTTAGACCACTCACTTCTCCACCTCGTGAGAACAAAGCTTTGGAAGCTTTTGACGTTGAAGAGGAAGAGCCGTCCATGGACCCTGCATGGCCCCACTTGCAAGTCGTGTATGAATTGTTATTAAGGTTTGTGGCATCACCTGAAACTGATGCAAAACTAGCTAAACGGTATGTTGATCACTCTTTTGTACTAAGGTTGCTCGATCTCTTTGATTCGGAGGACCCAAGAGAAAGGGAGTATTTGAAAACGGTCCTGCATCGAATCTATGGGAAATTCATGGTGCACAGGCCCTTCATTAGGAAGGCAATCAACAACATCTTCTACCGGTTCATATTTGAGACGGAGAAGCACAATGGGATCGCCGAGCTGTTGGAGATTTTGGGGAGCATCATCAATGGCTTTGCATTACCTCTCAAGGAAGAGCACAAGTTGTTTCTAGTTCGAGCTCTTATTCCGTTGCATAAACCGAAGTGCTTGCCGATGTACCACCAGCAGTTGTCATACTGCATAACGCAATTTGTTGAGAAAGACTGCAAGCTTGCTGATACTGTTATTAGGGGTTTGCTGAAATATTGGCCAGTTACAAATAGTGCTAAAGAAGTAATGTTCTTGAGTGAACTGGAGGAGGTTCTGGAAGCTACTCAGCCTGCAGAGTTTCAACGTTGCATGGTGCCTTTGTTTCGCCAGATTAGTCGGTGCTTGAGCAGTTCCCACTTTCAGGTATCTTAGCAGAATGCTCTTAGTAATTTGATTTTTGTCGTATATCTTTTGAAATGGAGACAATTGGTTCCTTTGTTTTATTCTTATATCGTGAATCAGTGAATCTTCAACTTCTTGAGATGGGACTGAATACCAATTTGGTTATAACGGATATGTTGCCTCATTGGGGCATGAAACTCGTTATTGATACTATTAAAGCACCCAACTTGTCCTGATGAATCAGCATTACATTTTCATTTCTTAGTCAGATCATTACAGTTATGTTGTTGAGGTAAGACTGGAAACAGAAAAATCTAATCGTGACCAATCAGGGCTAGTTGGTCCTTTGCTGAAATTCTCTTCTGCGTATTTAATGTAAATATGTAATGCATATTGGATTATTATTACCTGTCGGTGCGACTCCAGTATAGTACATATCTTTTACTCAAAACTGTCACTGTTTTGTAGGTGGCAGAAAGGGCCTTGTTCTTATGGAACAACGATCATGTGGAGAACCTAATCAAACAGAACCGAAAGATCATACTGCCCATCATCTTCCCTTCCTTGGAGAGGAACGCCAGGCGCCACTGGAACCAGGCTGTGCAAAGCCTGACGCTGAATGTCAGGAAGATATTCTCCGACGCTGATCCGGAGCTCTTCGAAGAATGCTTGCTCAAGTTCCAGGAAGACGAAGCGCGAGAGGACGAGATCAAGTCGAGAAGGGAAACCACGTGGAAACGCCTCGAAGAGATTGCTGCCATGAAAGCTTCATCTAGCAACCAGCCGGTGTTGGTCTCTCCTAGAACCTCAGCAAAGCTCATGGTTACAAGCTAGCTAAAAGAATCATTGAAGATCTTACTATGTTTTGAGCCACTATACGAGGGACAACAAGATGATATTCAGGTGGAAAGTTCTTTCATTTGAATATGAATCATCTGCCCACTTGCATGGAACCAGCATATGTGAAGAGGGTTGACATTAGAAAAATGGGGAGGAAGGGGCTTTCTTGAGAGCTTGAAACTCGATTCCATTCTGTATAATTCGGTGTATATTGATTTTTGGTTTGAATGAGAAGCTTGGAAATTAAGTTTCCACCTTTGTTTAAGACACCCAAGAACTTCAAGCTCTAATATAAATCATGCATGGTTAATTTTTGTCAATGTGAGTGGATCTTGCATTGACATCATTTCTACTGACACGAGTTTGGGTCCAAAGGCTCCACCCTTGTTCGGAAATCTGAGGGTGATGGTTAATTCTTGGTGTTCGATTCTGAACAAATCTAACAAATGTTTAGAACCCTGAGCCGACAACCTGAACCCACTAGCCCTGACCTAGTTACCCCCACCTTAGCCACTAGCTCAAAACCTAGAAGCCACCCATAACCAAAATCTAAATGCTAAGTCCCTAACCCAAATCTGACGACCTTACACCTCCAGTAACTCTTATCTCCATCTTCTTCTCCCCAAATTCTTCTATGATCTATCCACTCCCAAGTTCCTAAGTGGCGATGAGGAAATATGAGAGAGCATTTAGAAGGATAGAGCGTAGTACTGTTTATCTCAAAGGGAGAAGAGATGAGTGTATCTCAAGTGATATGCTAGAGACAATGTGTATCTCAAGTAGGTAGAGCCCTATTAGCAGCTCCTTCGGATGAGAGAACCGAGTTGCTTGGAAACTAAGCAACGGTGTTTCCCCCAAAAAGGAGAGGATAAATTATAAAGAGGAAAATTAGAAAAAAAGGAGGAAAATGGTAAAAACTTCTAGAAAATGATACTTTAGAGTGTCATTTTGTTAATTTGATTCACCGGAAAATTGGCCACTTCTTTCTTCAAGAAGAAGTTGCTCTCATGATTACTATACAAGCAAATACATTTGAAAATTAAATACGATGTCATTAAATTTATTTTTAACCGATGTCTCACTTAGCTCGAATATTAGCTAGCTATGTCATAAGATAGATCATGTTGTTTGTTTAGTACTTATAGTTATCACGTTTTTATATATGGAAGCACATATATTGAAGTTTCAATACGATGTTATAAAATTTATTTCTAAAAGAGATTTCACTTAGCTCTAATCGAGGTAGGTAATGTTTTTTTGGTATTTGCACTTTTCATGTTTTGACAAAAACGTGGTGGTTTAACAAATATATATGCATGGTATCGTCGAGAGGTAGAAGTTGTGAGTTCGGGTTGGATGCCTTAGCAACTAGCAATGTGGCTTGTGAGTGCATGTCTTTAAGTGACCTGCAATATATTGTTGAGGTCCAGAGCGATATATTACTGAAGTCTCAAATGATCAATACAATAAGCAAATGGCTTTAATAAGAACCGATTTGTTAAAAACATGTGTAGTTTGAAAATTCTTAGAAGATTATTGTATTTTGAGAATTTTTCATTATAACATGTGTACTTTGGGAATATAATTCCCTAGACAAGAGAGGGCTTCTCAATAATAAGGTTAATTACTAGCCATGATAGCAGTGTGTGGTCAATAAATATTGCACGTCTAGATGTGTTTGATTAAAAGGTTCATTAAACGATCAATATTAGAGTATATAAAAATTGTTGTCAATTCACGAACTTATTCTGTTATCAACTAGATTAGAATTTGGCTTTTATATTAAAGTGAAATTACAACAATTTTGAATGTTCGTGTATTACTCATATCGATACCTTGATAATATATTGAAAAATCAAATAATATCATAAATAATTAAATAAAAATTCTAATCTCTATTGATTCCTTATTAAACTCAACCCATGTCAAAATATTAGTCAATTAGGTACTCTCAATATTTATTTTACTCACCATATGGCCAACCTCAAGAACAAAAAAACTGACAGCATTGAAATTTTGTTGATTATTCGCCTGTATATTTGGCATACTACACATATTATTAGAACTACTTTCCAATTTCGATAGGAGAGATATAATTGATTACTCACCATCTAATTCATATGTGGCTTAAATAGTTAAGTATGGAGTTTGATATTTGTCTTCTCATAAATCTCCACCATGACACATTGACATTTTCATGAGTGACTTATATGGTTGGCCACTCGATTTTTATCCATTTATTTCATGTGTGTCACCTAAAAAGATTTCATATTGGCTAAAACAAGCCCATTTAATCGAGACCAAGCAACTGATCGAGTGGTTGTTGCAATGTCGATTTATTTTTCCATTGCGCTATAACTCAAAGGAATAAACATGGTTAAAACGCTGTATGTTAGTCTATGATGGTGTATGTTGATTTTGTTTCGCTCCTTTGAACAAAGCGTATTGGTTTACCAAGAGCCTCGAAAGGCAAGAATGAAGTAGGAGTTTTTGGTTATCTTTTGCTTGCTTCTACCTTAGCCTACAATAGGCCTAACTTTAGAACATAACATTTTTTGCGTGATTATGTCTACTAATTCTCCTTCACAAGCTTCATGTTTGACTTCTTCTCCTCAACCTCCACAATTGAGTTCGCATTAGAAATTTAATGTCTATTGTAATTTAGACATTACTTTCTCTCCACTTCTAATGTTGTACATTGTGATAGTCTTTCTACCATTAAGTTAATTGATAACCCAATTAATTATGAGCTACTACATATATAGAAATTGCAAATTGCAACACCAGATAATATAAAAGTAATACATGTTAAATTCTTCTTCAAATCAATTAGGAGATATGTTCACAAAATCGTTCCCACGCTTGTAGTATTATAGGGTCTCATGTCCAAGTTGAATGACGTTGTAAGAAAATATAACAGAGTGCAATAGTATCCTTGTCTTAATTACAACTAAATCCAAGGCTATGTATGAGGATGAACAAAGAAGATCAAATATGTATTGTGACATGCATAAAGCAACAATCGTATAAGCAAACAATGGAACAGTGATCATTATATAAGGCATGTTATTTGTTCCCGTTTCGTAATTCTGCGTGCTTTGTCCTATTTATAGATCAAACCGCGGATCAAATTAAATTAGTAATCCAAGCCACAATTAAAGATAGAACTAGTGGAACAACAATGGACAATGCGGAAACATAAAATTCGTCGAAATTCCTCTTCAAGTGCAATTTATGTTTCACTAAAATCATCCCCTTACTGTTGTCCCCATCCTCCAATGAAACCATTTCCAAATCGCCATCATTCTCGAATAATGAATCTGTCATTCTCATAGAATTTTCCTCCACCGCTACTAGCCGGAAGCTATTCTTGTCACTCGCCTCACGATATCGCTCCCAATGACTGACCACCATAGACTCTGTACTCTCTCCTACCTTATGATATTCATCATTAGTCATTGTCGTCGTTTTACCCACCACCGCCAAAACGCACAATCTCTCCCACCGTTGGAGTTGCTCCGGAAGCACAGGCTTAGTCGACGCCAGCAACATCCTAATCTCACTATGGTCCGTGTTGATGATCAACATATCCCCCATTTCAAATAAGCATAAGAACCACTCCTTTTTGTAGCCCACGCCAAGACAAATTTGTCCCTTTTTCCGTCCCAAGGAGAAATCATAAGTTTTCCACATCCAGTCATCATCAATACGAAGCATGCTAAAATATCGATCACCATAGACCATGAGGACCATCGAGCCACGAGCAGTGGGTAGTCCGGAGAAAGCGACGTTGATCGAGATTGGTGCCCGATTACGACGATAGTTAGAAAAGTGCAAATTCGGGCGAGGAAGAGCAATGTAGTTAACAGTAACTCGGAGTAGAGGATTGTAAAAGCCCAAGAAAATACCACGTACTTCTACAAAAAACCATGCCCCCACCCTCCCGAGGATTTCTATGTGGGCACCTACAAGCATATCTGGGATTTGAGATTCACGGCGTGGTTGGATGAAAAGTCGGTTGTCCTCCTGCACTTGGACGATGTCGGAGCTAGAGAATTTTATATGGTCGATCTCCACAGGCAGAGGATTGGAAAGTGTGATGCGTGAGTGGACTTGATGCCAGCTCTTGCAAACGCCTCCAAAGTGGGTACCATCGACATGGGACGAGAGTCTCGTGTAGATGGAATCCAAGATATCATGACATATATAAGCCCATGACCGATGATTATCTTCGGTGATCATATCTATCAACTTTTTCTTGGGATACTTTTTATTTCAATCATTATCAAACTTTTTGTGATTTTTTAAACTCTTTCATTTTGGGGATGATTCAAGTTAATTTGCATCGTCTTTCTTAAATGTTCTATTTATATACATGGTGGTGGAGTTATACTTGAGGAGAAATGTTAGGTACTTAGGTCTACAAATATGCATAAAACGGTGAAATAGTACTATTATTATTGGTTATAATGTAACGAGAAAAAAGTGCCTATTTAACGGCTCATGAAGTGGTTAGTATTAGGTTATGGAGAAATAAAATTGGAACGGGTCAATATTACCAGTTTACTATTTTCTCCATTACGTACGGGAACGGATCATGTCAGTATCCTTATGGTGAGTAAACATGAGTAACTCGTCCATATTAGCATGACATCAACATCCTTCTCTCTCCTGAAAAGCCTTTAATTTTCTCCTCCTTAATCTTTGACGGAAGATTTCTCACTCGTTTTAAGTCGAAATTTAATTTTTTTGCACAGTTGATCAGATTAATTGTGCTCTTCAAAATGATATCCACTTTGATATATTTTTCGAACAAAAAAATTGGACCATTTTTTACCAGTCTATACTATATGGTATTGACTGATATTGAAATAAGAGCATACCTATAGTTTGAAAAGCGTACAATGGTGGTATGAACAAACCAAGATTGTAGGATGGTTGAATACATGATAGTAGAAGTATATTAACTGTCATTTACGACTTTCAACATTGTGTACCACAAGATACCACCCCGTACCAAGGTGGTATTGTGTGGTATTTTTTGGTCCTGTAATTTGTTCACCCAGAAATTTGTAGATGCAATAGATCATGATGAACTCCTTCCTTCTGTGTAAACGTTTTCAAAAACGAAGAAGATACCATATGGTATGCAGTTGGTACCGAGAGGCAAAAAAAATACTAAAAAAATATTGAAAATGGATCTCATTTTGCAGAGCACAACGAACTCGTTCCATCTATGCAAAAAAAAAATCCGAGTTAAAATGAAGAAGATATGAGTCGATTAAGAAAGCTAAAGAAAATAAAAATGTCCTTTAATTCTCCATCCTTAGATCTGAATTTTCTAAATGAAGGGTCCAGATTTAGTTATTGATGGGTGCATAACCCATGGTGGGTTATGCACCCTATCTTGAGTCATTAGTTCATTACGTACGGTTACACATTATTTTTTAGGGTAAATGCTCATTATTAGTCAAACCTTCCCACATTCTTTTTTATTAGCCAAATCTATTGAATTACTAATAATAAGCCAAATCTTTTGTAATGCATCCAAATATTAGATATTTTTACTTCATTGTTAATAATTTTATTACTCTTTTCTTAGTTAAAATACTAAAATTTTGGAATGGTGACATTCATGTGTCGCTTCCAAGTCAGTATCATGTTGTCAAATCAATATTACTAACAAAATTGTTAACTGGAAGTTAACATTATTTGACTAATTATTAGTAATTCAATAGATTTGACTAATGAAAAAGAATGAGAAAAATATTTGGCTTTAATCTATTTTTTTATCACTCATAATTCCATGTACTTTGGTCATATATATATATAGTTTTCATTTAATTTATTCATATACATATACATAGGCTAGCTGTACGTGAAGAAGATAAATTGTACAGATTGTCAAGTAAATGCAGTAGGTCGTTTGCTAGAGGTTTTCAGATGAGTCAGTTAGTAATAAATGGCATGTTTTGCCTACCTTTGGTCCGCTATTTTTTTTTTTTTTAAAAGTTGAAGCATGATCAAACATTTTTTAAAACTCGATTTTTGAAAAGTTGAAAAGAGCTTTTGTATAACATAAAAAACAGAAGCTCCAATTTGGAGCTTCTGCGAAATACTATTTTAAAAATACATGATTAATATTATTATATTTTAATCTTATTTCAAAAAATATAATTCTATTTCATTTATATCATTATAAAAATATAATAAATTATAAAATTATATTAAATAATTATATTTATATATTTATATTTTGAGAAGAGGACACAGGTACTTTTGAATCCTGCCTCCGCCACTCCATCAAACCAGGGGCGGAGCTACGTGTTGTACACGAGACCCCCGGAATTTTGAAAGTTATGTGTATTAACTCAACGGTTATTATGAAAATTTCGTCAAAACTAAAGCTAGACTATGAATAAATTTAATGTGCGAAACTAGAACACTTAAATTGCAGCAGTCCAGCGGTAATCGAGGACTTTATGAAATGTTTTTGTTAAAGTTTTTTAATATCAAACTAAATTAACTAAGTTGTTCAACTTGCAATTATTTTTGGTTGCTAAGGGTGGCTATGAAATGTTTTTGTTAAAGTTCTTTAATATCAAACTAAATTAACTAAGTTGTTCAACTTGCAATTATTTTTGGATACTTAGCTAATGTACAAATTGTTTTTTAAATATAAATATAAGCATTCATTTAATTTTCTAATTTATATTGAACTTATCGTTCTATAATCGTGGTAACGGAGTAGGAAATTTCGGCCCCCCAAATGTCAAATCCTGGCTTCACCCATGCATCAAACTCTATGCATTTACCATCTACCCAAGTCAATTAGATTGAATAGTAAAGTATCCATGGGCAAATTTCCATAAATACAACAACAAAAAAAAGTATCATGGCAAAATTTTCATTCTTACTCGTCGGTTTAGCTCAACCATTTCTGCTAGGGGTGGAAGTTTGGTTTGCGGGTTGCGGGCAAACCGCACACCGCACCAAACCGCACACTTTGTGGTTACCCATACCCACAATTTGTAGATAGTGGGTTGGATGTGGGTAGCAAAATATTGATTTTTGTGGTTAGTGGTTAACCACTACCCACAGCGATTTACCCACACAACCCACATTAACCACTTTAGTTATATTTATTTCTTCAAAATACTTTGTAACCCACATTAACCACATTAGTTATATTAGTTTTTGAAACTTGGAAGACTAAGAATTAAAGTAGCTATCAAAATCAAATACGCATTTATTCTATAAAACAAAACCAAGTCAATATGCAATGTTTATGTGAGATACTTTTATCAAACAAGCATTGTCTGTGTGGTATATGTTTATTTTATAACGAAACCAGGTCCATAGATATAGTCAGATAAATTAATCGATTAGTTAAAAGAGGGGAATAATCGATAAAGGTTAGTCTGATACCCAAACTCATCTCCATTTCTCCACGAACTCACGAACAACACAACATGCAACCAGCTACCAACAATACAATACTATAATCGACAGTGGAGAATAATTGATTCATTAAAAGCGAGCGCCTCCACTTATCGAGCCACTTTTTTGTTTTGTTGTTGTTGCCATCTGAGGAGTCGTGACATGCAACGATGTTTGTCTAGTAACAAGTCACTCTGCCTCTTCGTTATCTTCAAATCACTAACCTATTGTATTAGAGATTTATAATTTCTTTAGCCCTTTATTAAACTTCTTTTATGTATGTTTTTGTTTTTGTGTGAGAAGAAACACAACATCACTATTTAATTACCATATTTTTAAATTTAATGTGAAATTTTTGTTGGTGTCCACAACCAACCCGCACCAACCCGCAGCGGGTAATGGTTAACCACTACCCACTGCGGGGCGGGTTGTGAGTAGCATAAATCTATATTTGTGGATGTGGTTACCCACAAAATATGGAGCGAGTAACCACACCCACCCCAATTTCCACTCCTAATTTCTGCCATTGGCGTCGCATGGGGAAACTTGAAGGTGGAGGAGGTTGAGCCGAAAAGGAGGCGGGAGGCGACATCACTAGGATTGGGGCAATCAGGCTAGAACCAACTAGGCCAAGAATTGATGTTGGGTCGCATTAAGATCCTGGATTCAAGTATAAATGTCTAAGTATAGACATTGTTACTGTTGGGTTGTGTGGTCGGTTCTTTAGGGGGTTCACTGCTGGAAAAGTTCACGGGTATCAGTGCGTGTTACTGTTGGGTAATGGGTGCCAATGATTGCTGGTAGTTATGTAACTAAGACAGGAAGGTTGTTATGTATTTAGGATACACCGAATATCATATTGAATTTGTCGATACCTGGTATTACCGAATACATGCTCAATTGTTATTTGATATTAGGGATTAAGGGATCGAGATTGAAATCAGTTATACAGAAATACCGATCAATCCCGAAATATAAGTTATTGTGTATTATATCCCTTTCAACTAGTCTCTCTCACTCACTACTACCAGAACCTCAATCACCAAAATGATCGCTTAATTATACATAGCTCATTTTCTCACTATTTGACACCTCATACCAAGTTCATTTTGTTATGTGTAGTATGCTTATGGGTTGCTTAGTCGTTCATTGTTTTAGATTGTTGGTCTAGTTTGTTCCTCGCACGAGTGTTGGCACCACAATATTGTTTGTTTTTTTGTATTTTGACAATGGTTTGTGGAGCTACATTTGTGTTAGTATATTTGATTTGTAATTTTGAAAGTAATTAATTTCGTATTTGCTATTAATATCGATACCGAACAAAATTTTAGAGATTGGGATACCAAATTTATTTTTGGGATTGTGATTGAAATTTAGTTTAGACTTCTATTTGATCGGAATTTCGGTATTTGGTATTTGAATATCCATACCGTACCAATTTGGCAATTTCCAACCCTAACAAGTAGAAACCATACCCAAGTAATCTCACGGTAGAGAATGGACCGCAGTTTTCTACTGGATCGCTTGAAACATGCTAAAGCAAAAGGATTAATGTGACTAGTAAAGCTAAAACAAGCAAAGAAACCTGGTTGTATATATCTCTGACATGGAGATTGCCAGGGTTCACACAGATTATCAGGATAGTGTTTCTTTTGTTGTGTTGTTGTTAGAGTGACCCAGGGTACTACTGTTAAGGTGAAAGTATTGGTGTATTTTCATAGTATGATTTATGCCTTTATGGAGATGATCATCAGTTGATATATATGGAGATAAGTTGGTATATGGAGATAAGTTGCCGGTTGAATAACCATAAACATCAACTCAAAAATCTTGGACCTTCCGTAGCTTAGAACTAGAAGCTCGAAAACCCCATTTGGAGCACAAATTGAAAATTATTGAAAGCTGATATGTTAGTGTGACATTAGTTAAGCAGTAGAACTTAGATAGGAGTTCATGGTAGTTCACTGCTTGAAGCAAGGACCGAACGAACCTTAAACAACTCGCGCATAGCCTGATAAGTATGATCCCCAGTACGATTTCACAAATCTCGACAATCTCGACAAAAAGAACAATCGCACCAACTCATTGTTATAAATAATATGATCATCGATGAAAGCCTGTTTGATTGATTACATATCATTAAGCTTTTGTAGAAGCTCTCCTCTCTTCTGGTCACTCTCACCTATATATAAAAACTTTGAGACACAAGGCATCTAAAGAACCGACCACACAACCGCATGTAAATCCCTACCAAATGGATTCTATTTGGTTTGATTTTACCAGCCACTAAAGTTCTTCTGAACTTTGGAGCTCTGAGAGGATCTACCGCCCTTGTCTTTGTATAGATTTCTCGAGGAGCTTCAACTCTACTTCCCATGAGCTGCAGCATCACTCTCTGTTGCATTCACGTCGTATTCCTCTACGTCTTCCTGGAACGGCCCAACACCCCAAAATAAGAAGATGATCATTTCAGGTAGAACCAAAATTCAAGGTCAAGCAACTATAATCTAACTACATACACAGAAGAAATTGACAATGTAACTGTAACATACAGTCAAGTGTTTTCACCACTGCTATAAGAAACTTGATATACTACATGCCACTTAAATTCATATCTCATCATTATCATCTTGTGCAGCAAGGCCATTGCTTTGTGCCTTCTCACTCAACAACTTATTCGCAACAATTTTTCCATCTCTTCATTTGTTTGCTCTTTCTGAATAGTAAATTTTCTGATAAGCACCATATGATATTTCATTGTATGAGAAGAGAAAGTCAAAAGTAATATTTGAGGAAAGGAACCTGCTATTCTATCTGCAAAGAATCTAAGTTTGCGATGTTTGTTCCATTCACTTCTGAAACGTGCTCTTCATTCTCATCCTCCACGCTGTCAGCACCTCCTTCAATGAACTGCAGAATTTACATTTCAGTTAGAATGTAAAAATGCAGGAGAAGCACAGGAATTGCACCACATGCATAAATCACAATATCAACCGCGAAATCCAAGGGAGTAACTTTTGATGTCATACTGAGGATATGAACTAATGAATCAAAGAGCTTCAAGACAAAAAGGAAAACAGAAAAGCAGCAGTTTTGAAAGAATTTAAAACACACCTAACTACAGGTGGAAATATAAAAGCTCTACCACACAAGATGATGAGCAAAAGATTCCAAGCGTAACTTCTTTGAAATCGAAAAGAGACTAACTTGTTAATCTATAGAGACTAATATGGATAAGAGAGAAAGAAACGAGACAGTCATTTTACTTTGAAAAACACCTAACTGCGTTGCCATATCATTTTGATCCTTCCGTGTGAATCCACTAGCAGCAAGTTCCTTATCGAGAAAACCACAAGACTTAGAAATTGAGGGAAATGAAGGTCTGACAGCTTCATCGGTGTGTGCCTGTGCAGCATTGTTATCATCAACATCGTCCTCAAAAGAGAGGTTGTACCTACAGATGGAACAGCTGGTTAGAATATCACGAGATAGATCACATATGATTTAACATGTAGGAACAAGCCAGGAAGACATAGGTGGTAAAAGTTGACAAGTGGTATCCCAAATGAATATATGATGCTTCAACCAGCCCAGACCATTAAACACAAGAGAAGAGAGAGAGAGAGAGAGATAGATAGAGAGAGAGATAGAGAGAGAGAGAGAGAGAGATGCAAGTTTTAAACTAGAGATAGAAGGGGAAAAGAATCTAGGTTGTTCCTAAGAGGATGTAGGAAAATAGTCAAAACTCTACATGAAGGTCTTTCCAAGCTTCAATCTTAAAATATTAAAGAGATGAGGGAGCTTCAATCTTAAAATATTATAGATGTGTTCAACATCACGGTTGAAGAACCTGCAGAAAATTTAAGAATGACGTTAACCATTTGAAACTGAACAAAACTAAAGGATATCATCAAACAAGGAGAGAAAATACTTTGAGTCGGATTCAGTGGCTGGATGAGTGACCCCTCTTGCCCCAACTTCAAGGGTAGATGCCAAAGCTAATGTTTTGCAGCAGGCCCATTCTACAAATATATAACACATGATTAGAGGACTTGAAGTTGACACCATGGAAGAAAAGACTTCAATCAATGCAGGCTTACCGTTTTACCATCCAGTGGAATGACATGAAAACTAGATGGAAGAAGAGGGGCATTGTCAGCAAAAGATTCATTGATACGGGCAAAAACAAGCTGTGACAGGCGCCATCAGCATTTTCATCAACCCCACTGCATTGATGCAGACAATTTTAACCAAAAAATATATAATATAAGGTGATTTGTCTTGGAAGGAATTCACCTAGACTTTAGAATGAATGAGTAGTGAAATAACCTGCAACATGTACACATCCCCTACTAGAGCCATCTCCTAAATGCATGCAAAATATGGGACAGTAAGAACCAAACAGAGGCTAAATTGTATAACCTAAGAACATCAAGCATTGATGGATGTGCAAAGTAGCTAAACTGTTATGCATCAAACTGAATCTTGCAGCACAAGAAATCTAACCTTTTTAACAGAAATGAAAAGGCCAAAGAAGGACCGGAACAAGCAGTTTACCACTTCCATTTAGCCTGATTCACACACCATAGTAGCTTCAGCCAAAAATTGAAAGCAAAAAGGTGAACGGAGCACAAGTACGCATAAATTATAAGTTGCAGAGGGTTAATCCCATGCCAATTCACTAGCTCCAATCACAAACTCCACCTAACTCTTGAATCAAACTGAACCACATTGATTATATACTCGGATCCATAGAATCAGGACTACAAACAGATCAAAACCTCAAACTGTTCACAACCCAACTCAAACTCACAAAACCACTCCAACAAATAAACACCTATGAAAGCAATTGTAATAAGTACACAATTGCAAGAGAAAGAGATAACAGAGTTAGAAACCTCTGACAAGATACTAAAATTATTTCTGAATCATTTTCCTGAGGTCTACTATCTATCCACACTGAACTACTATGGCCGAACAAAAATGGTTGATCCAGGTAAATGATTTGTAGTTACCTCTTGCTCTCTTTCAAGCAAGTTCCTTTTGAAATGTTGTTGCAGCATCTCATTTGCGTAGTTAATACAAAATTGTTCAAAGCTGTTCTTCTGATAAAACCATTTACATAAACAGGATGATACCTCAGCACATGTGCTCCTCTGTTACTTACAAGCATAGCTAATGCAACTGAAGGGCAAAGAGAAGCCACAGCAGCAGAATAAGACCAGCCGTTATATTATAAACACATGATTTCAGTTGCGAAAAGTGAAAAACTAATCTTCGTGGTTACTGAACCATGCCAAACCAGCTGGACTTTGTGTTCATTTTTCTATCAGTCAGCTCAATGGTCCTAAATATCCAATGCAGTGCTGACATCAATAGAGTGGGATTATGCAAATCAAAATCACACAATACAGTTTGAATTGCCCATTCACCTCCAAACCTATCACATTTAAATGATTTTAAAAGTTTTTATCCGTGATTCTGTGATTTAACTGGAAAAAACCACACATGCAAACTAAAGATTTAATACTCTCAGTTGATTAAGTCGCAAAATAAGTTTCATATTAACATCAGTTTTGTAAGCTTGGAGTAAAGAACATTATATGCTTATATAGAAACTGTAAAACCAGTAGCTAAGCACACACACTGAAAAAAGTGGCTAATCGTCCCAAAATATTTTACTGCTACTCTGATTTTCTTACTTTTAAGATCGACCGAGAAGTTTTATTGGTACCTGCTTTTAACATTAGGGCACATCAAGAGCTGAGACTACATTCTTGATCATGGAACCAGCTGAAATAGAGTAAAGAACAGTACCCTTATAGCGGTATAATGCTCCATGGGAAAATGCTAATGAAGACAAAAACTGAGACTGATGGTAACAGTCTAAGCTTGTCTTTCAGCTGGTAGAAAACTGATGTCCATACAAATGATCGGAAACCCTACATCCAACAGTTTAACAGAGAGTATATTAGATAAATCATATTGACATATTGTGAACTCAAATTAGGAATCCAGAGCTATATAGACCGAGAAATCAATCACTTATCATCTATAATTTTTCAAGAATCTAAACTCAGCACGAAGGACATATCATGGAAAAGGATGAAGAATAGAGCCAAAACCTGAGTGAAGTAGAACAGAGCAAAAACCACCGCGTCTTTCAGCCGCTTGACCACCAGCGTGGTGCCGTATTCCAGCACGGGCTTGTACTAAGTGTCAACGCTCTCAGCAGATGTTCCAGGTCGGAGAAGTAAACTCCTCCTCTAGCTTGTTTCTCTCGGCCGACCCGGCGGTGATTTCGTGAGAACAATCCAGGCCAGCAGACGGAAGGGTGAGAGACGAATGGGCGGAGAATGGAAGACGACTCAATCGGTGTAGGTCTCCCTGGCTAAGACGAGGATTGAACTTTTTCGATTGTTTAGGATTAGGCAGAGATTGGAAGAAGCGATGGAAAACAGAGAAGCTTCGGCAAATGCAATTTTGAATTTTCAAACAATTCGAAAATTTTGGGCAAATTTCAATATGATTTTGATATTTTGTTTGCCTGAATTTCTAGAAGGGCCCGCTCGATCCATGTCACCCAAAATCCAAATATCCCTTTTCGACTAATCGTGTTCGTTGATTTAATTTGCGTCTCATCCTGGCCGTTGGGAGGAGAAGAGCCATCGATCGATCCAATTTAATACGAGAAGTCCAATGTGCCGCCACGTGGATGGGCGATCATGTATATAATACACAAGCTGTTTGCTGGTTGGTGGGGAGCACAATCAAAAAGCGTCTCATTCTCCTGGGAGAAAAAGTATTTAAAAAATCCTCTCCCTTCCCCACCATCGTCTCCCCTTTTCTCCCCCTTCTCTGCCATGCCTTTCCCATTTCTCCCCTTTTCCGCCATCGCCAACTATTTGGAGGAGTTCCGGAAATGGCAGTACGTGCATTATTTCTTCTGGTTCTGGGTGGGTGGAGTTCCGGCTTTACTGGGGATGCTTGTGCTTGCTCTGAAAGATCGTTTGCTGACCTCGGTAGCCGTAGTAGCGTTTTTCTATGCCATTTACTGTGCGGCCAAGATTTGTCTGAATGGCAGGTGGTGGCCCCTGGAAGGAATGACGTTGCGGCTGATGCATTGGACTGGTAGAGCTCCTCTCCAGGTGGGCGGTTTCATTTTCGCCGTTGTGATTGGCATACTGGTGACGAGAGCGGAGTTGAAACCCTGGGTTGTTCTGGCATACACCGTGTACGCGTACTCCTTCTCTCGCTTTATGATGTTCCGGGTGACCTTCGACTTTACGAGCGCCTGGATCTGGTGAGTTTATTTCTGCTTTCAATCAGTTCAATTCGAATTCCGTTATGCCATTTTTTCGCCCTGCCTGAAACGAATTTCTTCTGTTGGTATGTATGTGCAGCACCACGGCAAGCACCGCCTGGGGCGTGGTAGTGCTATGGAATGATGAGGGTGGGTTTGTGGGTAAGAATTTGGAACATGCGGTGCCTATCTCCTGCGTTTTGGTGCTGTTGATCTGCCTTGGCAAGTACCTGGACGAGTACCGTCCGGCCACAGATATGATCTACGACATGGGGAGGGCAGGTGCGTGTGGATTCCAGGAGAGACCACCGAATTCCGATCCTCCTCCTGGCTTCATCCAGCCAACCGAGAGTGGGCAGGATGAGCCGCGGAATGCTACTGTTTCGCATGATGATGTGGAGGCGATGCAGGGAAGGTCTTCTTCCGAAGAACGTGCTGCCCTTGAAACGGAAGCGATGTTGGTCCGCGAGTCCGGCGGCGGGGCGATGGTGGGTTCGTCTTCTTCCACAGGACTTGCTGACGGGATATTGGCCCGCAGGTCCGGCGGTGACGACTTCAGGTCAAGGAGTATTGATTTCACGATCGGCGTGCTGGAGTTTGTGGGATTGAAGGATAAGGAGAAGACCCGGTCTCGCTCCATGTGAGATGGGGAATTGGAATCGAAGTGAGGAAGAGCGCGAGCAGAGTGAGAGAGCTCAGCGATGGATTGCGAGAAAACACTTTTTATTGTTAATCAAAGTGTGGGACAGCACAGCACCCATGCCTTGCCTTCCACCGCTATTATTTTGTTATCTTCGTTCTTTTAGTATTCTTGTTATTAATTCCGGTTATTTTTCTATGGAGTATGGCAAGAATCAAGCTGGAATGTGAAAAACCATGGTCTTAATTTGTTTCAATGATTCACTGATTCTAGCTAGTTTCAATTATTTTTGTTTAGTGTACTGTACTCCCGTCCAAACATTTTCTAGTAATATTTTATGAATTCAACTCTAAGTTTCTATACTTGTCAACAACACCCGTCCATTGTGCATAAGAGAACGAGCGATCAATCCTTCCTCCCCATTGTATCAGTGAATTCATCGCTCCCTCTCGCGGGAATAAGAAAGGTCCGACTGTTAAAGCGATCAAGACATAGGAGAAGGGGCTTTTAGGTTTTATTTTTAATTGGGCCCAATTTACTGGGCTTTGCTCTGTCGGTTGATGTTGGCCCAATAACAAGATTCCCTCCTAGACCTAGTAGTTCAATGCCAATCTCAGCTACAAAGTGAAAGGAATTGAGCAACATTGAGAATAATTATTAATTAATTATAGTTGAGAAAGGTCTGACTGACTGTTACACCGATCAAAAACTTAAACGATAGTAATAATTATAGATTGTTTCCTTATATCCAAATTTGGCCAGCTTGATCATATCGCATTATATTTCACATGAATAACATAATATCGAAATAAAATGGAAAACTAAAATTAAAACTTTCTTGTCATATTTAATTCTTTTAATAATCAAACTTGTGTCTTTCATTCGTTCAGATAGACTACCCCTGAAAAGGTCCATCGGTAGAAAGCACATGAAGATGAAAGGATACAAATTACAACATACAAAAAATGCCAAGGCATAAGCCCATTCATAATTAATCAACATCTCCACAAGGGTCGCATTTTAATAAAGAAAGGATGAAGTCATGAAGATGGGTATGCCCAACGTATTTTGGCTGGAATAGAATGCGAATGGTTGCTTTCTTGGAGAACAAGAGATTGACAATGAGTGACTCGAATCAAACTGCTATAACAGATTTATTAAGAGGTTATCTTCCTATGTTTGTACTTTTCGCTACCAAATAGCACATAGAAATAACTCATATATTTGGTACATCTAAATAATAATAAAATTTAATCTTCAAAATACAATATTATTTCAGTGATAATTTGATAAAAGTATCTCGTTTAGTATAACCATACAAAAAACTGAGTGAGAAAACGAATTATTTTGAAATAACATTGAATATAAATTATTTCAAATAACTTACTGTCCAAATTAGTCATTTCAATTACTCACAAATAACTAAGGGGTCGTTTAGATTGAGTATTTGGGGGTGTTATTTGAGGTCAAATAACACAAAATCTGTTATTTAACCCCAAATAACATGTTTGGCTGACAAAAAGTGGGATGTGTTATTTGGATGTAGTGTTTTGCCAAATAACAGGTTTGAGACCAAATAACACAAAAAGTGTTGTTTGCCAAATACTTGGGAGGGGCAGGTATTTCCCAAATAACAAGTTTGAGACCAAATATCACATACCAAATAACAAGTTTTATATTATGTGGTATTTGTGTGGTAATTGGCCCCAAACAACAAGTTTATCAAATACTCAATCCAAACGACCCCTAACTAAAATACTTCATCCAAAGGATTCAACGTGTACAATTAATTAGTTATTTTTCCATCAAAACACTGACTAACTAAAAGAAAAGTGTAAATGATCCCCACAATGCGACATTGACTATAAGAAAAGTGTAAATGATCCCCACAATGCGACATTGACTATAAGAAAAGTGTAAATGATCAGGACACAAACAACTGAACAAGTTATATATATTAATGCCTATTTGTTAGCGATGACCGTACATAATCATTGCATGCACAGGAGGAGGAAAGCAAAAAGTTAGGTGCTTGGCTTATTCGAGGTTGGATATTTCAGCGGTTGATTAATAGAAATGTTGGTTTCCCCTAATTTTGAATAATTACTAAACTAGGCTTTGCTCAATTTTGAATAATTCACACACTATGTAATAGATTTTTAAACATTTGTTTTCATCGATTTCAAATATTGTAATGTGATTTATTCTTGAGGAGGCAAATGAGATTTTTAAATTTAAAAATAGAAGAGTGTTCCACATGGCATGCTCTATCTCCTTCATTTTTTCCTCTTTGAGGATTTTAAAGGACTTGTACCTTTTACCATTTAATTTAAATTATTTTGCATATAAAATATGATTTAACGAGATCTATTCAAAGATAGCCACTTTGGTATATTCTGAAGAAAAAAAAATCACATTTTCAATTATGTACTCATATGCAAGTGATTTTTTTATGTACCACAATGGTACATCAATCAGTTACAGTTGATCCATTGTGGTTCTGTTGGTTTTGCTACTTGGTTTTATTTTGAAAAAAAATTTATTGAATTTGGTTTAAGCGGACTGATTTGGACATAGACTCTAATAAGCAAAAACTAGGTTAACCAAATGACCAAATTTCCTCTATAGCCAAGGGCATTGGCACAAATGTTCCTAGCATGTACAATAACCAATAAGCCACATGAATTGGTAAGTCAAATTCAAATGAATAAATTTGACTCGGTGCACTGAATGGTCTTAAATCGACTAATCATGTAAATTTAATAATAACATAAATGAGAGATTTCAAGGGAAAATTGGTAGAACTCAAATTGAGTGTATTTCGCGATCATCTTTCATATTGTGCTTTTTTAGTAGGATATACTCTCTTTTATTGTTAGGACTTCTCTTGATTGAGTTAATTTGGGTCTGTTTATGCCTCTATTCTAGGGTTGTCTTTTCCTCTTTTGTTTATTTGTTTTATTTGGACAATGGCTCGAGCATTAGTCGTAGGGACTAGGGAGATAGAATCGAACCAGTCTAGTTATTCTGCTAACTGCATCAATCGTAGCTCAACCATTTATGCATGGGCGCCACCGCATGGCGGTGGATGAGGTTGAGCCAAAAGGGAGAAGGGAGGCGACATCACTAGGATTGGGGTCGTCGGGCTAGAACCAACTAGGCCCAAGAATTGATGTTGGGTCGCATTAAGAGCCGAGATGGGCCTCGGCGGGCTCGGACCAAACTTGGGTAGCCTAACCGTAGCTTTGATATATACGATTTGGGACAGACGAGTCAAGGAGCTGGGGAAACTGACGTGAGCTTGAGTGGATATCGGTCTAGGATGATGGATAGAGGCCCGTAGTTCACTTAAATCAGCGGCCTTGATCGTTTTGACTTTTGATCACGGGTCCGGTAATTCAATAAGGGCCGAAATACTTAATATAGGCCCAATGAGTGTTAATTATGCAGAGGAAGTCTAGTTGGGGGTTCACCGCTGGAAAAGCTCACGGGTATCAGTACGTGTTTCTGTTTGTTAGGTGCCAAACTGCCAATGATGAATGATTGCTAGTAGTAAATAAACAACTTTGTGTCCTTTTTATATACCAACTTATCCCCACATAGGGTGTTGTATTCAAACGGTGTGGTTATGGTGGTAATCATTTTAACCGGTAGTATTTGGTTAATATGGTTTGATTAATCTGGATAACGGTTTGGTTTGGTTTAACATTTTAGCTTGTTTGATTTTGGTGGTTTGGTTTGGTTTGGTTTCAGAGACTCCTAACCAATCAAACCAAATTAACCAGTTAACTAATTATCCATATATCTAATAAATATTATATACACATACTTAATACTTTGCATAAACACTTAAGAGTCAAACTTTCCTCCTTCTTAGGCTCATAAAAAATAAAGCTCGATATTGTTTGTATATTTGTATTTATAGAGTGTATATCAAAACTTTATGGACGCCTAATTTAGATAAAAACTAATATATTATGTCGGAAACAAATTTGCGAGGAAGATCTTTTTTAGCCTAGGATAATTGCTAAGAGCCTAAGTGAATTTACATAACAAAACAATTCATTAACCCCATATCATTGACATATATTTTTGTTACGTGAATACTTCTATTGATAGTAAGCCAATTATATTAGTTACATGTACTTAAGTTAAGAGTTAACTATAACTATGTGTTGATTGTTATATTTTATTCATTATATAAATTATGAATTGATGCATTAACCAGATAATTTCCCACCTAACGAGAATATGATGTTATATTGGTTAATATGGTTAACCAATTAACAAAACTTATTAAACTTTAGTTTGGTTAATTTGGTTGTTGTATTGGTTTGGATGGTTTGTTTATTACATTGAATTCCATGGTTAATAGGATTTAGACTTGACTGGTTTGGTAATTACCATGATAACCATTTGAACACCCCTACCCCCACCCACCGGAGTAAATGTCGTATTTATTGTTGGGATGAATAGTTTTGAAAAGCTATAATGAAATTCCTAATTAATTATCCAATATTTTCCGCATAATACGAAATTAAGATGGATAATTAATAAAAGGAATATTATGGAGATAATTAGGAATAATTATCTTAATAGATTATATTTTAATTATGGGAGTAATTATCTCCCTAATTAAAATGTGACTTATTCCCAAAGAAAGAGAGAATATTCTGGGTTTTCTGCTCCTATAAATAGGAGACTACCCAGACCCTCTAAACACACCTCAGAGAGCAGAAACACGAGATAGAGAGTGAGTTCATAGAGCTCCGGTTTATTGCACAAAACCGATGAGCAACAAATCAGAATGGTTGTTTTATCCTGGAGGCGACCGGCTGATAGTCTGCCGTGCGCAATGAAGGCAGTGCCGCGAACGTCTTAAAGAGAGCGACCTAGTCCGCGACTCAGCCAGATCGGTAACCCTAATTTTTCCTGTTCGATTTCTAACAATTTTAAGACGTTCGATTGCTGTTATGTCTATCGAACAGGATGCCGATTTTGGCTCGAACCATTTTCATCGCTCAATCTCAAACGTCGATCGCGGTCTTCCAAGTCATCCCTATTGTTCCAGCACCGATGATCGAAACCTTGGAGCCCGCTTGATTACGTCGATGGAAAGGGGTCTCCTTCCTGGAAGCGTTGTCGCGGTATTCCCCTGTATAAACGATCCGATCCGAATCCATGTAGGTGCTGCCGCGACTTCTTGGTTGGGTGCTGGAGATGGAGAAGAGTTTTTTGCAAAGGCCCCAATTAAATCATCCCGGTCCGCTTGAATAGAAAGGGAGTATTCTTCCCTATTGGGAGTTGTGATGCATATTATACTTGATAACAATGGTTTATGAAATTTTGGACGTATTGCTGGCATCGTTTGATTTTAATTTTTGTTTCTTGGATGGTTAGAGGACAATGAGAAATTGGTCTCTATCGAGCTTCTAGACTCGACGAAAGAAAGGGATGATTCAATTGTTGCTCAATTGAGACACGAAGGGTTGAAGTAAGCACTTTAGGTTTGAACGTGTTATGTGGATTGTGGGTGTTGGTGCTCTCGTTACAGATGAGAAACAGACAAGCTACCTGTGGTACTAAGTACGGAGTACAAGGGCAATTCGATTTTGGCTATGCAAGGAGGCGTTCATTCTTGGTGTGAAGGTTTGAGGTCATAACTCATAATTAATTGCTTCCAATTAACTTTCCTATCTGGCTTTGCTTTGCCCGAGAAACATAGGTGGCTACTGGACAAGGACGTCGGAAGTATGCCTCGCGACGGGATGGCAGACTGGGTCTAGCAGTCAGTTGGGCCAAGTTAATGAAAGAATGTGCACAATCCAATTTATTGTTCGAGGCCCATCAGCAACAAAAAAAAAAAAAGTATACGTGGACATGTGCGTGGGTTAAGCAGGCGTGTTTGATTTATTATAGGTTAAAGAAATCAAGCTATCCAGCCATGTAATGGCCGCTGATGAATTTGTGGTGATGGGTCGACCTGTTTTCAGCTTTGTAAAGCTCAATTGTTCGAGAAGGCAATGCGTTCTCGAAAGGAGAAATTTTACAATGCTATATACTATTGGTTCTATAAGATTTTGCCTTTATGGTACAACTTAAAATTGTACATTTACGTTATGGTACAACTTCAGATTGTACCTATACTTTTTGTACAAATTCTTTTATGGTACAACTTGAACTTGTACTTTTATGTGATGGTACAACTTCAAGTTGTAAAGTTGTACCATAACATAATGATACAAATTGCTTTATGGTACAA